AGAGTTGAGGACACTTGACAAAGATGTGGCACACACTGTGCCTGCCACCTCCCCTGAGCTCGGACCACGGGCTGGGTGGCCCAGGAACCAGGAACCCTGGCTTTTACTTCCGTATGACTGCCTCAACTCCTGCCTCGTGTTGGTAGCAGGTCCTGTTTGCCAGGATCCTATTGGTTTTTCTTTTTTTTTGAGTTGGAGTCTCACTCTGTCGTCCAGGCTGCTCCCAGCCACTGCAGCCTCGACCTGCTGGGCTCTGGTGATCCTTCCGCCTCAGCCTTCGGAGTAGCTGGAACTACAGGTGCGCACTACCACGCCCAGCTAATTTTTTGATTTATTGTAGAGATGAGGTCTCGCCAAGGTGCCCAGGTGGGTCTCGAACCCGCGGGCTCAGGCAATCCAGTCACCTCAGCCTCCCAAAGCACGGGATTACAGGCTGAGCCATCTAATCTATAAAATGCCAAGGTCTCTGAACAGCGCTAGCTGTCTCGCTAGTGTTAATTATAGTAGCCAGTCCTAGTCTTGATTCACTGTCTTAGGGTACAAAAATGCATGCTTTGGGGGGATAGCTTCTGGGATTGGGAGTTGTGACAGAGGTCCAACAAACCTCGGGGGGCAGGACAGGGAGCAGGGACAGCAACCTGCCGGGAAGAGGGAAGAAATGCAGCTGGGCCTGTGTGGGCCCCGTGGACCTGCACTCCGTCCTGTGTCTTGAGGCTAACCTTGAAAGACCCATGGTTCAGCTCTGGCCCTCTCTCCAGAATGTAGATGCCTTCAGAACTCCCTGTGAAAGAAGAGCATCTTATCCCAGTGGCTGCATCCTGAAGGTGTGTCCTGCTGTTGACACTTGGGCCTGAGCATGGGCTGGAGGGGCCAGGCCCAGGTAAAGGCCGGGCAGCCACGTACTGAGTATAATCACAAGGGGTTTCTCCCTCTCTGCACCTGATTCCCAGTTGAGCGTGGTGACAGGCTAGAAGGCTCATTAACTGTCAGGTGCCAGACAGTGAATCTCCTCCACAGTTTCCCATCCAGGAAGGGCTTGATATATGCCAGGAGGAAGAGGAACCGTTCACCTGGAGATGCTGTCCCTGGCCTCCCCCCGTCACACCTGTAGGGACGGAAATGGGCCAGAACAGAGCTCCGTGTTTCCTATTTGTTTTGTCTCTGCCTGAGTGTGCATCTCAGCTCTGGGCAGCAGCCCCGTGGGGCTTGGGGGGTGATTCCCAGTCGTGTCTGAGGCAGGAGTGAAGGGAGAAGGAAGCCCCTCACCAGTGTGTCTGGGGGACGTGAGGTCCTTTTGGCTGCCCTCACTGGGAAGCCTGAGGACGCGGAGGCCAGTTATCTCCTCCAGGCCCCGTTTTCCTCCTCCCTGTTTGCTGTGTCTGCAGGTTCAGCTGGTGTAACTGAGAGGCTGCTATGCCTGGTGTCGAGGGAGGGCTGGGGTCCCCAAGTGATTCCCTAGTGGGCCTCGTACACAAGGGGAGGGTTCAAGTCCACCAGGGCAAAACACGAGGGCTTGGACCTGTGTACACAAAAACACTTTAATGGACAGCATACAATTTTCCAAAATATATTTTTGTAAGAAAATGCAATAATTAATTCTAGTCTTTACAAACAAGTTTCTTAGTGAATTCCAGTGTTCTTCAGACCCCTGTCCTCTGAGACATGTGCTCCCCCTGTGTCCTGGGCAAACATTTGCCTAAGACAGAAAGACCCTCATGGAATCCCAGTTGCTGCTCTCATTCGGGGCCGGGCCTGCAGCAGACCTGAGAATAGACCAGTGACAGAGATGGCTGACCAGTAACAGCGACAGCCGTGCTGCTGTTTCCCTCGTGCTCCGTCTGCCCCGCCTCGCCCCCCCCCCATGGTGTTTCCTGGACCCTCAACCCTGGCAGTAGAAGCTTCCGTATGTAAAAGCTCACTCAAGACCATTGCTTGGCAAAAAGGACAGTTCACTGACATCCTTGGTCTAATGATACAGAAGAAGCATAGCAGACTGGTCCCCACTTCTGCAGCCTTGCTAGGATCAGAGTTGGGAAGGGAACTCCATCCTTAATGTCACCCTAGTGTCTGTGAGTAGCAGTCCTTAATTCCTGGGGTACACGGCACTGGATGTCTGCAGACTCGGGCCTTAATCTGTCCTGAACCATGTGATTCTGGCGAAATCCCCTTTCGCTCCCTGGGCCTCAGGCTCACTTTCAACAGGAAAGGATGGAACTATAGCTCTCAAGTTCTTTCTCATCATGTCACCTTCCCATTGGGGCACAGGGGTTCCAACCTTTATGGTAATGGAGCTGGGACTTTGCTGGGGACGGGGCGGGGCTCATATTTTAAAATAAAAACACTCTATCTGCAAGACAAATATGTGTCTTATATTTCATTTTTTGTTTTAAAAAAACTGTCATTTCTAATAACAGGCATTTACATTCCTGTTCAGAGAAAAACTTACCTCTCTCAGCTACCACAATTTTTTTTTTAAGGTATATTTGCTTAGAACAGTGCAGGGCAGATTAATGTGTGACCACTGTATTTACATATTGAAAAAAGTGTACATCTATCAGTTTGAGTTTGCTCTTCAAAGTTTCTCCAGTATATTGTCAAACAGGATAAAGCTCAAGAAGTGGTTTAAGTTGCCTTTCTGATAGCTTTCCTTATCGAGAGGGGGGAAATCTGGTGTCTAGACTGGACTGAGCCCATGTGTTCTCTCTGCTGCTCTCTCCCTACTGGGCTTCGTTCAGTCATCAGTCATGGTTTCTGGCCTTGGGTGCAGCCTGGGAAAGCCACTGTTTGCCACCAAAACAGAGCCCATTGTGTCTCTTTGGTACAGCCTGTTTGGAGTCATGCTGAGCTCCTGGCTCTTCTGTTTTAACTCTTCTCAGCCCCGAATCCAATGGCCACACACAGCGTTCAGAACCCAGGGCAGACGGGGAGAAGTTGGCTTGGTCGGGGGCATGGCCATGTGGCCTGTTGACACAAGTGTGTCCTAATGGCAAGAGCAAGGCCAGGCACCGGGTTCTGAAGCTGCCCTAGAAGGCTAGAGTAACAGACGTGGACCGGCCCCGAGCCCCCAGGGTCCTCCCTAGGCAGAGCCACAGCCACCCCTCCAAGAGGCATCAGGGGCCACTTTTGCTCAGTTACAACCTGCTGAGGAGATGTGATCCAGAGCCCGCAGCAGCATCTGTCTGGCCTCTCCTGCAGAGGCTGGGACGGAAACCCTGGGCTGGGCAGGACAGAAGCTGGGCAGGATGGAAGCAAACAGACCTTTCCCACCAACCAGACTTCCTGCACTTCCCCCAAAGCGGGCACTGTGCTCCACCCTGCCCAGCCTCCATATCCCCACAGCACCAGGGCAGGGGCTTTTGGCCTTTGTTAGCCTGGCATGTCCCTGGCTCCGGGGAACTCGCTGGACCCTGGTTGGACCCTTGGCCTTCAGTTTCCTCCAGAAGGGCAAATGCTACAGGCCAGAAAGAATCCGGCAGGTGGGGAAAGATGCAGGCCTTGCACCTTCTAGAAGCTACTCCCTGCACCTTCTAGAAGTCAGCTGTCCCAGAGCAGACAGCCCAGTTCATCAGCACTCCTATAGCCTGGGTCTGCCCCCAGGACCCGAGTTGGGGCTCTTTGCTCTGAAATGACAATTTCCACTCCCCTGGGCAAGTCTGCCCATCTTCCTCGTGGGTCCCAGCAACAACAGATCATGGCCAAAGTTCAGAGTTCCACGCAGGATCCCCTGCCTCAGACGGCCGGATTAACCCTACACCAGCCCTCAGTAGCCTTCCATGAGGCACTACCTTGCTGAACCTCTAACAGCCTAGAATGGACCCGACATGGCTTTGTGTTTCCCTGAGATGCCACCAGAACCTGCAGGAGAGAGGTGCAGCAGCCCCACCGAGATACCAGGACTACAGAGGAAGCAGCCAGGCCAGCTCCAGGCAGGACAGCAGGAGGCACTGGAAGCATTCCCCCGGGCCACCCTCCATGCACCCTGATTGCACGCTCTGGCCGTCCCAGTGGTACAGGAGAATCAGAACCAGGGAGCTGAGCTCACTGAGAGTGCAGCAGTCTGAGCTTTGGCCTTTGGCAGTGGAGGACTGGACTAACAGAACAGACAGAGCAGAACTCTTGGCGACCTGCAAAGTCCCTGAGTTTCCTATGAAACAGAGCACAGAACCTGTCCCTTCTGCTGCTGCCGTGGACCGCGGGCCCCTCCTGCAGCTGCTCCTCCATGCCGGGCCTCAGGGGCGTTGCCCCGGGCGCCAGCAGTGAACAGCAAAGCAGGAACACGCTGCTTTTAGCAGCTACTGCAGGCTTTGGTGCCTGGCAGGAGGGGGTGGGGTGGGGTGGGCAAAGGGGGTCTCAGAGCCTCTGCAGGGAGTGCCAGGGGGTGGGCCGGTGCTGCCCCACCAGCTGCCATGAGGACGCAGACCGAGGCGAGGTGGGTGGAAGGCCCCTCATCCTCCCTTCCCCTGCACCGGGTCCCCATGCAGGCCTGGCCCACCGGGGAGTCCTGTGGACCAAATCCCAATCTCACCAAACAATTCAAGGAGCTCAGATCCAGAACAAGGGGTTCAAGGTCACAGGTGGCTGGCGCCAGTACCAGAGGTCCTGGAGTGGAGTGAGCATGAGAACTGAGAAGCGAGGGAGGAGGACAAAGGGGCCAGAGAGGGAGCCAGAGCATCCCCGGCGTCAGGGCCCATGGAGCCACAAGCCTCCCGCTCTCCTTGCAATCTGCTCACCACTGGAGTTTCACCCCCTGCCCCAGCAGCTCTGCCCAGAGGGCTCAGGGGACACGGTGGTGTGGCGTAGTGCCCAGGAAGCCCTTGCTTCTATTCTCCCTGCCACTGACCGGCCCAGGTCACTCCCCTCTTAGGCCTCAGGAGCCCCTGCAGATGAGGGGTCCCCTAGATGGTTTCATCTGCCTCCCCCTCCCCTCACCTCCAGCAGCACTGAGCTCAGGCACTAGTGGGTTATTGTACAAGGAGTCTAGACAGAAGGTGATTTGTTCAGCTTGCAACAGGAACAAGTAAGGCCCTGGGGGGACCAGGAGGCAGCGGCCCCTGAGTGCACTCCCCCCCCAGTCTCTCCCTCCCTGTCCAAATGGCACTTCGGGTGGCGGGGCCGAGCTCGGAGCCACACAGAGGCACCAGCCAACTAGAGGTGAGTGTCCTCCTCTTCCTCCAGGTCGTCCTTGGTCAGGTTGTCCAGGGGCACGATCCAGCTGTCCCCCAGCTCGCCGTTGAGGCCCACCGCCTTCTTCTCCTGCATCTCGGAGGAGGTCTCCATCACCTCCAGTGTGGGGTTGTCATGGTAACCGTTCTCCACCGTCTGCAGCTCCTCTGTGAGCCGTTGCTGGAGTGGGGAAGACCCCGCGAGAAAGGTCACTTGCCAGCGCGCACACACCCCTTCGACCCAGGAGGCCCGACTCGGCCAAGCGGGCTGCAGACCGGGCTGCAGACCAGCCTGCCGTGGGCAAGCATGAGGCCCACGAGCCCCTCCCTGCCTAGCAGACACAGACTTCGTTCCCAAGTCCTCACTCCTTCATTCCTTCCCCCAGGGCCTCTCCACAGGCACCTGCCACGCCCCACCATCACCTAAGAACACGCCCTCCCTGGGGCTGGATGACCGCCCTAAGCCTGGGCAGGTGCAGGGATGTCCAGAGTCACCCCTGCCGCAGGGGCAGCCACCTGGCCATGGAGTGCCCCTCTCAGACACAGCCTTGGACGCACATGGGGGTCAACTGGGAGCTTTTAGCAAAAATACTGCTGTATCCAGGGATTCTATTCTGGCTGGGGGTGAGGAGGCCAGTGGGGAGGTCTTTACAGCAGATCTGAGGGCAGGTAGTGCCTGGTAGGTGAGAGGTTGGGCGGACACCCCTGGGCCCACTGGCATCAGTGCCCCTCGGGACGACTTTGCAAGGGGGATCTCCCTCTGGTATGCACAGAGAAACTTGAAGCCCCACGACATGACAGGACTCTCACAGCCACACGAATGTCGGGACAGAGCCAGGGCTTCCTGACCCCAAAGCTGCACACTTCCCTCCTTCCATATTGCCTCTCCCACGGTCTGTGTAGGTAGGTGGCTGCCCACCGGCATGGCCGCTGCCTGGGAGGAAAAGTCCATGGCCTGCTCACTTTACAACACCAGAATCACAAGGGGAGCACTCACCTGGTTAGGCAGAGAGCACTTCCTGGCTGGGCAGGGAGCACTCCCAAGACTCAGCAGGGAGTATCATCCTGGCTGGGTGGGAGCACTCCCCAGGCTTGGCAGGGAGCATCACCCTGGCTGGGTGGGCGCACTCCTTGGGTTTGGCAGAGAGCACTGCCCTGACTGGGCAGGGAACACTGTCCTGGCTGGGCAGGAGCACTCCCCGGGCTCGGCAGGAAGCACTCACCTGGTCCTTCCTCTGGGAGAGGCGCTGGTGGCAGCAGCCATAGAGGGCCGCCACGAGGAGCAGGAAAGACGCCATGCAGACGATGGTGATGATGAGAGGGGTGCTGAAGCGGTCCTCCGTCGTCTCTGGTGGCCCCTGGTTTCCCAGCTGCATGTGACTGACTCCCTCCTGGCCAGGAAGGAGAAGGTGACTGGCAGAAACAGGCCCAGCCCCCTCTCTGAACACTCCCTTCACTCGCCAGTCCCTGCTCAGGGGTGCAGAGCCCTGTTCCACGCTAGCTCTTTCTTCTCTACTCCTTCTTCTCCGTGGAGAGAAGAGCTGTGGAGCTCAGGACAGCAGCCTTCCCGGCCCCTCCCTGCCTGCCCCAAGGAGCCACTCACCGCCTGCAGGTCATCCCACTTGTCCTTCAGCCGCTCATACACGTCCGTGGGGAGGAGGTTTGCTGTGGAGGGAGGGAGGGAGGGAGGGACACAGCCTGTATGGCCCAGCCCTGAGGGAGTCGGGGGACACGGGACACACTCTACCAGGGGGACCCAAAAGCCCCGGAATTTGTTCACAAAAAACTGCGTATTTGTTCTCGCGTGTCTAAACTTCAGTCACCCTCAAAGTCCTCTCCGTTGGATGCTCTATACTTATCGAGACACTTTCCACGGCTCAAAAGTTTTCGACCTTGTCCATTTGGATGCCTATTAGTGCTTCTGCTGTCTTTTGTTTCACCTCTTCCACATGAGCAACACATTTCCCTTGGGGAACTTTTTGAATCCGAGGGAACAAAAACAAGCCACTCGAGGTGGAGCACGGGGGTCATGTCGTTTTGGGTTGAAAACTGGTGAACACTCAATGTGGTGTGGGCAGGTGTGCCCGTAAATCACCCAACGTGAAATGGGCAAACACGTCCAAAGACTCTCCAAAAAATTCGCTGAAGCCGAACACAGCCTCTCACCACAACGCCAGCTGATACGTGGATGCCGATGGGGTCCTAGAACACCCACCTAGTGGGGGAAGCCTAGACTACAGGGGCCCGCCTCCAAAAGATTAATTCCAGGTTTTCCGGGGTTCCCCTCGTGCCCCAGGCCCCTTTGCGTGGGTCTCTCGGGTGGCCTGGGAGGGGGTGCAGCTTGGTAGTTTGTGGGAGCTGAGGGGGGCCACCCAGCCCACC